AGAATAGTTAGAAACAAAGACTCCGAATAGTTAGGTGTTAAATGTAAATTAAAAAAAAAGGATCACAGGAAACAAATGAGAATCAGGAAATCTTTAGACAAATCATCAATTGAAAAAGCAGAATATGGGTAAAATGCTGGTTAAAAAAATTAATGAACGGAAATAGTTAACGAAATATAGAATTCCCCTAAATGAACCGGAAATCTTCCTGACACAATCGGAATAAGAAAAAATTGAGAAAGAGCGAACGGAGGACAAATAGATAAAGAATTACTAAAAATTTAACAAAAATTAGTTAGTCATCACATCATTAGTTGATTAGAATTAAAAACAACTCTCATAAATTAGAGAGAACTGTAATGAAAGCAAGGGTGCAGAACGAGATTCAAGAAAACGCAGAATTAATGACCGGTTTTAACATTAAATGATACAATCACTGCAAGCAGCTTGAAGCTTCAAAGCAAAAATTCACGTTATAATAAAGCAGGTAATAATATGGAAAGAAGCAATGAGGAAACATATATGCGCAACACTGCAAGCGTAGGTCATATACAGATAGATCGATTCAGTACTTGCAGAAAAAGACCCATAAAAACGATGGAAAATTTTGTTTAGAAATGTGAAGCAATAACTAATATGAAAAACTTTTATGTGGACACCACATGACTTCCTTGTACGGCCTATTAAATTACACACATTTTCTGCTGCACTTCATTTAAACTTTCGAATTTCATTAGAGATACATTTCTCATTCACAAAATTCAGTTCTCACTTCGCTGCAAGGAAAAAATATATAAAATCTGAAAACATCTTCATTAAAAACTGCATAATATAAGGAAACCTAAAACATCAAATACAGTTAAAAACAGTTTAAAAAAATGTATGCAATTCAAATTAGAGTTTCTACCGGAAAACAACCAACTCGGTCGACGGGCAGGAAGATAAATTTTAAAAGTGCACAAAATTTAAAAGTGCACAAACATTTATAAATGCGCAAAATACAACGGTAAGCTAACCACCTGACTGAACTGCGCAGATAAGGTTAACACTATTCACCGTTACCTAACCCCGCGTCAGTTGAGAAGGGCATTTAACGCACAGTTGCGCACTCTGAACGGCTGACTGACCCTGGATGAAACATACAAGAAAATCTCATCCTTCATCATAAAATACTGTGGCCTCGAATGTAAAAGGACGCGGAAACCCTGATGCTAGAAAAATTTAAAAATTATAAAAATAAAAACGAAGGCAAAACGATGCAGGTTTTTGGTCAAATGCTGAGCAATGCTGAATATATAAGGCAAAGCCTTCTTCACGGAAGAGTGAAGGACAGATACACAGAACACTGTGTTCTTGACAGTTATTCTAATTCTCAAGTGTTTTTCAGTTTAAAATGCTTTATGGTAATAACAAAGACACTCTCCGTTTCACAACAGTTCAATTATGGTAATTTAAGGTTCAATTATGTAAATTTAAGATTTTGCAGAGTTTAAAGATTTGCTTTAATGAAAGTTACGGGAATGAATATCATAAGCAGAATCAAGTTAGAATTTCTTCTTTCAGCTTTTCACAGAAAGAGAAAAGCTCTTGCCTTATATTATGTATGGAGTGAACAAAATGAGATTCGAAGACTTACAGTAGAGTACTGCAGACTCATTACGTTATTTTGAAGCAGAAGACATGAAAAATTAGCCGTGCCTTCATCGGGACTAGAACCTGGACCTCTCGAATATGCGCCGAGTGTGCTACCATCACACCACGAAGACGTGCAGAAAGGAGGGATAAAATACCTTACTCCCACTTCTAAGGGATGACTGGGGATTAGGGGACACAATCGTCAAATCCTGGTGGCGGAGACTCATCATCCACTATCTTTTTAGTTCCGCCGCCACTGTAGCCGGGTTACCTGTTGCCTGTTGCTCTCGAGCCGCCACTGTTACCTGTTGCTTTCGAGTGCGCGCCGAGTGTGCTACCGTTACACCACAAAGGCACACAGAAAGGAGGGAGAAAACACCTTATAACTTCATTCATGAAATTAAATGTCTGAGAATACTTGATGCCTTAAGTGCTCATTAGTGGCCGAACGGTAAAATCGCTGAACACTGGTAAATCCGACATGGGTTAGATTCCAGACGAACGAGCTGGCCATATGGGCGTTTTCATGGTTTTCCCAATGTGTAACGTGTATACGAGAGCCAGTTTCCCTTAAAAAGTTCTTCACGAAAACCTCCCTCAAGCAGCTAGTCCCAGTGGGCTTTGCCATAATCAATTACACCAACCAACCAAACTTAAATGGGTTTTTAAAAATGAAAGAAATAATTATCTACTTGAATTTTTGAGAAAAGAACATAATGCACCATTATTGGCATTAACTTAACAAGCAGAAATCTTTGCTACTTTTTCAGTTGAACATGAAGTCTCAGTTATTGACATAGAATACATTTAGTTCTGAGACTGAACTCTGTGCCATCTTTAAAAACGTCTTTCAATCCGCAACATATTCCCTTCTTGTTTCTGACATGCTCATGAACAAACTGAATTCATTCACAAAATAAACTGTGCAACCTCAAACTGAATGACTGAAATATTTTCCTTTATTTTCTTTCACAGTTCCATCAAGGGAGTTAGCAAATTGTACGAAATATATCCTACTCTTAGTACGTGCAACATGTACCGAGAAAAGACGAAGAAATAAAATGAAATAAATGATTACCGGAACAGAGAGTAATGAAAAAATGTCCTAAAAAACTTTCGAAGCGGTTTACAGAGTTCAACGTATAAAAAATTCAAAGAATCTGTTTCGCGAGCAAGCGGCACGGTTACGGTTATCCGGTATTCCGTAAAGTATGTGGGTCACGATGGTGACAGTTACGAGATAGAGAAACAAAACCCTTTCCGTTCGGCACCATCAACGCGCCATTGCGCTTAGATCCGAAGTGCACAGTCTTGATTCTTTTTATCCAGCCCGTTTTCATGCATTGTGTTCGAAGTAGGTTACGTTATTCAAATTAGGGCTCTCGGTTTCAGAGAAGGACGATCGTAAGCATTACTTTCTTCACGACCCCTAAAGACAACTGGAACACTGTTCTCGATTTCTGAAAGGAGGGAAAGCAACCGCTTTCTCTTAAAAAGAACTTAGATGGAACTCTCTTCAAAAGAACCAACACTTAGAAGCGCCGTTTTATAAAAACAAAATTGTGATGGTTCTGCGAAAATTCCAATAATTAACGTTTTTGAATAGCTTTAAAGTACGTTCTCTCTGAAGTAAGCATATATTAAATCTTATTTTTAGTTTATAACTTAAATTTTTACATAGATTGTTAGAAAGTTTTACTTGTCTTCGTAAGAACTTAGTTTCCTTTTTCGAAGTCACATTTAGTAAAATCTGATTATATCTCGATATTCATTCTCGACACCTAACGCACGTATGGTCTCAGCCTGTGAAGGTTCCACAATATAGGAGCATTTAGGCAAATTTGTTATTACTTTCGAGAGAATTGGTGCAGGTAAGGGGCTTAACACTAGTAAACCCAAGAGGCTCCACGTCCTTGAAAATAAAGCCCCACTAATTAATTATTTTTTCTCGTAATGAGACGTTTGGAAATCAGTATTTCGATGTGGAAAGTTGAGGAAACAAAATTTAAAATAAGTAATTTAAAAGTGCTGTTTAAACATACTCTTTACACGCAAGTTATATATATTATACAGTTTACACATGCAACTATACAAAAACTAAGAACATCTATTAGAGAAATTCTTCTAATAGTGGGTTCATATGGGTTGTAATTCTACCTAAAATTTTAAAAATGATTGGGTAAAATAATACAAAGAATTTAATATAAAGCATTCGCAATTGCAAAGTAAAATGCTCGTTAATATTGCATGATTTATTTAATTTATTTAGCAATTATGACTTAACTCCAGTATTCTAGAAATTCTTCAACTTCTAAATATTTTCTCCAGAGGTAGGTGAAGGTGTATACACGTTTATCAAGGTCTCATTTATGCACTCATTGAACAGAACATCTACTTTACAAGTATTACTGAGAGATAATATGTATAACAGAGATCCTTGATAGCAAGTTGGCGAAGGAAAATGTTACTAAGGGCTTCTAGCTGAATATTTTAGTGAAAGACTTCCCTTCTTGTATGAGCCAAACAGCAATTAAAGTACCTGTCCTTAATAAAGTATAACGTTACCTGCTAATAAAACTTAACAAAGCAGTGACTGCACTGCAGCTGTTTGGATTGATTTTGCCAAAGAAAAGTCCCCAGATAATTCTAAAATATTACATCGGCTATCTATTCGGTTTAATTAAGGTTTATTTATTAATACTATAAAAGAGTTAAAAATTGGAAGAATTCATCTTCTAAATCTCAGGCTGAGATTAAAACTGACATTCTACGTACATCAGATAAATATTTATGATTTTGAACTGTATCACTTAATTAGCTGTGCATGCCGTAACGTTTTAGCTCTATTTATTTATTTTATAAACTGAAGTAAAATTTAATTTATTGTGTTTCTGAATTTATGTGATTACTCAGTAGTTTCATTAACTTATATCGTGGAAGGTGGTTGCAAAATACTCAATAAGAGTAGTTAACTTTTTACACAAATTTAAACTAGAAGCTACTGCATTGTAAGTAAAATACGAGTTACATCGAAAAGCCTAAAAATTTAGATTTAAATACATGAAGTTTAGTCGGAAAACTGCATTATCATTAAATTTCATGGCGAGAGACTACAAAAAATATAAATTTATTTATTGCCCAGCGTCATTTAATGAACATTACACCGCATTTCTATGCAACTTAGAATGCCCTCTGCTATTTGGTAAATACGTCTACTTTAGAGGGATGCCAGAACGATGATGATTGGAAGAAGGGATGATATCTGGAATTACTTCGGTATGTTGGCAAGCTGATAAGCAGTGGCCAAACTGTCTGAAACATTACGTTTCTAAATTATTCCTTAAAAATGACATTTTGAAACTCACTTTTCTTTTGGGAGCTGGAAAGGCATCATCAGCGGCGAAAGGAGGAGGAAGCGTCCGAATCGATGCCTTCGTCCGTCTGACCTGAGTCCACCATGGGAGGCGATGGAGTGGCCCGAGTAGAACCACCACCTCCGGAACAATAACTGGATGCTCCAGAGCTGCTGGCGATGGCTGGAGGGGACCAACCTAAAAGAACAAGGAGAACAAAACAATGAGCATGGATACAGCAACACATGAAGTACAAATACAACTATTATGAATAAAGTAACCCATATATATCAGACAGAATCAGGCAGACTAGACAGACCACCGAAGGTAAACAGACAAGTTTCAAAGGTGAAAGTTTTCCCGAAAATATTAAAATAAATGCATTAATATCATATGCAATGTATGCAATAAATGCATCATATGATTAATGATCATATGAATGATTTCGATAAATTAGAAAAGCCAAATATGAAAAATTAATACGGATTTAAATTTTGATAAATGCAGAAAAACTGAATTTAGAATTACGCTTTGTATAGTAGTTTTTACTTATAAAAAGGAAAGAATTTTAGTCTTTACTGCTGATACTTTTCTGTACAAATTTCTTGCAAAGAACATTGCTATTATTGTTTAGAAATGTTGCTAACCAATACCAATATCGAGTTATTTAAATCGATATTATCGAGTTGTTAAAATCATTATCAGTTCTTTTGAAATACAGCCGTAAACCGGCGCGTGATTATATGGTTTTTCTATGACAGCTGAACTCTGGAAGCGATGTTGAGGTGCAGAAAATATAGCCAGAAATGTTGCTAATATCATTTCGAGATTTTATAGGGGATTTATCCGCTTTTTATACTCACCTGCTTAGAATCACACATTTATAAGTAATGTTATTTATTATTATTATTATTATTATTATTATTTATGATGCACTTTAATGACACATGATGATAACCGGACCTCATAACTTATATAGGGTAGTGGCACAAATTGACACTCATAGTTGCTACATGATAAATGAATGCAGTTTTGTCATATGCTGCTACAGGGTGTATGATGTAAACTTTCATTAAATTGCAGTCTATATTCTTCAGTAATATTAATACACGTTAAGGAGAAATATGGTTTTTATCATATAAAGCAAAAAAAAAAAGTTACAGTTATGTATGACGGTTCATATTCATTATTAAATTTCGTGCCAAGAAATCCGCTAAGTTCGAATATTTATTTTGTTGTTATCCCTTTACTTTCTCAGACCTACGGCATTACAACACTTTAACTATTAATTTTGTACTGCCTCATTAGTTTTTTGGGTGCTGGAGACATGAAAAATGGGCAGTGCTCTCGCCGGGAATCGAACTCCGGACTTTCCGAATACGCGTCCAGGGGTGCTTCCAGTTACACCACGAAGTTCTGCAGAAAGGAGGGAGAAAATACCTCATAACTTTATATATATTAGTTGCATGTCTTCACCACTCCTTTCAATCACAATTGAGGTCAACGTTTTCATAAATAAAGATACTACCATAAATATTGATTTAAAAAGCTAAGTTTTATTCTTAAACGGTTCCCAGTTTACTTTAGTTATGCAAAGAAACTGGAAATTAATAATTTTGGGGGAAATACTTGTTAATATTAATTGTTAGTTTAGCCAGGAAGATATAGCAAAAGGCTGCGAAATGTTGGATATTTTTTTTTTTTTTTTTTTTTTTTTTTTTTTTTTTAGAATGGTGTTTTACTTCCTTGTACGAAGTAAAGGCAGTATTGTAATCGCGAAGAATTTTGGGTATCATATTTCAACTGAAATATTCATTATGACCTTTCCAGAATCCATCCCGTCCGCGACATTGCGTCATGTCTGTACGTACGGATAAAATAAAGGATTCGTTTTTCCAAAACGGAATGGTCAAATTACAGAAGTGTTTTAAATGCCTAAAATACTATTGTTTTGGTAATGCCAAATTTTTTCGACAAATAACGAAATCTAATTTTAATACTATCTCCTGGGTCCTATACTTATCCTTGGGAAAGTTTTATACTCGTTAGGAAAAAATAAAATTGTACGTTTGACTCCCGTGAGACAAAAACTGAGCGGGATATTTAATTTAAAAAATTTGCAGTTTTGGATGTCATATTCAACTTGCCTTGAGGGTTCATTAAGTTAGAATAATTCTAGAAAATAAGTTTAAATGAAGCGTAATAAAAAATATGTGTAATTTAATAGTCCGTACAAAAGTTATGCGAAGTGAGTAGTGACCCTGACTACCATATCGAAGAGTCCGGGTTCGAATCCCGGAGAAGGTATGGATGTAAATTGTTTGTCCCTTCATAGGGGGTAACAGTGACCGCCTAATAGGTGCCTTCCTAATAAAATGAACACTGCTTCTGGTCTTTATGAATGGCCAAAGTCTAAAATGGCTAGTGCCCGCAATAAAAAAAAGGGGGGAACTACTTTGAAGACATGTGGTGTCCACATCACACTTTTTTACAAAAATCTTCACTTCCTAAATACTTCTGTTTATAAATTACCTACAAGCCATCCAAAATTTTGAAAATTAGGTGCAAGAAATACTTGCAGAAGAATATTTCGGATCCTATTAATGGTTGTATAAAATACATGAAGAAGGAAAGGAAAAATAAAGGTCAGAATAAACAAATAAATAACACAACTTCAAAATTCTGGACAAGTTATTTGGTAGGAAAATCTTTCACGAATGGTAGAAGAATAAAAACTAAAATCTGCTAAGATTCGTTTTATATTTCACTACCATTTTAAGGACATACTTATAGACCATGTTTATTGCAGATTGTGGAAGAAAAGTCTCAGCATGCGTATCACATGATAAACATTCAAAAGTAAATATTAATTATTACTTTCAAGTAAATAGATTTCTTTTCTGCTCAGTAAACGGTTTTTTTTAAATAAAAAAATAATGATTGTTTTCACCGATCAGATGTCATAAGTAGCACTATTTCTTTATTACGTTATTTAGATTGAGTCAAACTTCAAAATCAGATAATTTCTTTATACGCATAAAAGAAAATCAAACGTTTTCCTATTCGAGCTAGTACTTGATAGGCATCTTTGAGTGAAAAAGAAATTACTCAGGAAAATAAGTATAACTATACCTACTAATTTCTTCTGAGATCATAAAAGTAATACTTTCTGATACTAAATACACTAGAAACAACCGAACTGTACTCGTAGACAAAGCAATGTAGAAGGATTATCCTGCAATTTCATATTCTAAAACTACAAGTAAAAATGCTATAAATATACTTCCAAGCAGACAGAATGCAGACAAATTGCAAATGTTTATTCACAGCATGTTCCGATGAAAAAGAAACTACTCGATGTTAGTTTAAATACATAAATAGAAAAAGAAGGATGCAATAGACCTGACAAAGTGGACGAAGACTGAATGCAAATATTTACTAGCAGCTCGTTTCGCTTCTCCTAGCAGACAAGAAACAGAAACAAAGAGATATTACTATCATCGACAGGAATGTATAATGTTTCGGTCGACCCCCTTTTTACATGGTCTATTTCCAGCTGGACATACAAACGACGTGGCGACTTCCGCAATCTTAGAAGCAGATGACAGACCTTCAGTGACAAAAATAAAAAATATTTATAGGGAACATCCAGATGATGCAAGAAAACTATAAGATAGTAGTAGTAAACTACTGCAAATCGATCACGCAGATCCAAACGAATTTCGATAGAAAAGTGACTCTTTTTTAATGAAAGGTATTTATTCATTGGTTTTTTTTTTTTTAAGACAGATAAATCTGAGACCAATGACTGCCCATCCGTTAATATTCCAACACGGTACGATGAAAAGTACCCTACTAGTTCGAGATACCCAATCATAAAGGTACCGACACTTTTGTGAAGTCTTTTTACTATTTTCCAAAAATCTTTGCTTGGGTGCCCAACATTTTTACGAAGGTCAATTTCGACCCTTATGAAAGCAGCCTTCATAAGGGTGCAGGTATCTTAAATGACTTGGCACCGCTATGCAAAGAGGATTTTCATTTCCTTAATTAATCTCAGAAGGAAACTAAAACCTTACTTTTGGAGCCATTGCCCCAGCATAAAGATGCCAACAACGTTAAGAAGATTACTTTCTTTATCTTTTAAAAACTGATCTGTTCGTACAGCTTTTCTATGAAATATGGATCCACAGAGTCAAAAGTTTGGAGAAAATCTCCAATTGGAGCTAGTTTTCAGCTGCACGAAACAGATATAACCTAATATGTTTCATACTGTTTACGTTAAAATCAAACAACTTTTTTTTTGGTGTGAAGCCACTTTCTTCGTTCGTATTTAATTATGCAAATTCAAAAGTAGCAACTGGATAGCAATAATCAAGAAAATTTTCAGCTTCATAATTAACACTCTAGACTCCGCTAGAGGTGCTACGATAGTTCAATGAATTTACAACAATAATAATTATTATAAAAAGGACTGCACTCGGGGGTGAGGGGCTGAACCGACTGCGCTACACATACGCAGCCTAAATCACAATTTTTTCATAAATATTGTCGCAATATGAGGCATAAAATCGTGATGACAAGCTGTTACATCATTTTTCCCCACAAAAACTGGTGACAAGAGCAGCTGATAAAAAAATGTTAAGAAAGAACTAATTTCGTAGTCGTATTAAAAGTTGTGAAACCGCATGTCGCAAAATTAACATATTTTTTCGGATTTCATTCGCCAAAATTATTATTTTGAAAGATCATAGAGGAAGGCAGCTTTTAATACTTATATTTAATTTGAAAGCATTTACAATTTTTATTTTGAAACACACCATTTTTAAAAACTGGCATTCAAAAAGTGTTAAGATCATATTATTACTCATAAAAATAATACAATAAAATAATGTCAAAATGTGATAAGGATTAAAAAATAATAAAATACATGCAGTAACTGAACAGTTTTGATCAGAAATATGTCGTATACTAAAATGCATTTGGACTGTTTGCATTAAAAAGAAAAAAAATATAAACGACCAAATATAAAGAGGGAAAATTAAAGAATATAAGACTCTGATTTATTTCGCTTTTAAAAGGGCAGACTCAGTATCTATTCTTAATGGGAACATTACAACAATAATGCAATAAAACTCTGATACTGTTATGCAATAACTACCGATACTGTCATGTATCATGAGCAGAAAACGGAGTTT